ATTAATTTTTAATACTTGATATATTATATATGGCAATCTTTATTTATACAATAGTTATCACATGATGTAGTATCAAGTACAAATTTCTATCAAATATATGAAATTTGATTTAATTTAACTTAATTTAACAAATCTTCATTCACTTAGCATTTTTTGTTAGTTAACCTTATTAGTATCAACTAAGATTTAAAGACTAAGATGGAGAAACTTCATTGATTATACATTCTTATCGACTCAAATCTTGTGAGTGGTTTAAAAGAAAAAAAAAAAACTTTGTTGAAAGATTTTTCTTGGCAATAATGATTAGTCTTTTGATAAAAAATTTAGGATTTTTTTCTATAAACACTTTTACTCTTGGATTTTTCCTTTGTAATAAAAAAGATAGTTAGATTTAGAAATGTTAAGATTTTCCATCTTTCCTTGAAAGTGTATTGCTTATGCACTTGTAGTTGCTTAATATTGCTTAAATTTTAATTAATTTTTGTCATTCAATGTATTGTATATGGAAATTTTAATTTATATAAAATATAATTAATAATAATCTTTTCTAATTATTTTCATTTACTTTAATAATATAATTATTTAATTATTTTCTTTAAAAAAATATTAAAAAATTTTCATATTTTAGAATTGTTAATAAAATATTAAAATATATTCATATATTAGGTCATATTTAATAAAAATTCTATTTTTTATATAAAATAAATAGATTATTTTCAATAAATTATTAATAAAAAATCATATTAAAATTTAAAAATAGATTTAATTATTTATTTAATATTAAAACCATAAATATCAATTTTAAATATAAAAATTTTAAGTAATATTTAGAATATTTATTGATTCCAAAAATATCACCAAATAAAAGAATCTTCACTAAAACTATTGTACTGGAGTTATTTTATATCAATATTTAATTTTAAAATATATATATATATATGTAAAAGGATATTATGTCTATTTTTATAATTTATATTAAAATTTTTAAAATATATATTTATCAATTATAAATATTATATTTTATTTTTAAAAAAAATATTAAAAAATTACATAGAGAAGAACAAAGAAATACAATAAAAAATACGTATTATTTTTTATAAGCTAATTTGAAATTATTTAGATATTATTCTTATTTATTGGAATTTAATTTAGATAGAATAGTTTTTAATAAAAAATGAATGTAAAATTTTGTAAGGTTAATATCTTATTAATACCAATTCTAAATATATATATGTTATTATCTAATTATATAATTGCATAAATATTTTATAAAAAATTTATGTTTTATAAATTTTATCTCTATTTTTTGGAAAGCTTGGATACTTGTATTAGAAAACATTTTTCTATTCAATTAGTGCAATAAAAGAATGGTATCTTTAGTAAAGACTATAATTTATTAATATATTTAGATTAATCTATTAGTACCAAAACAAAAATAATTATATTCTTTGGCTTAAAGTTTTTAATTTAAAGAATAATCTTTAAAAATTAGTTTATGCAAATTTCTTAAATCAAATATGATATTATGTAGTAATTTATAATAATAAAAAAAATTAAAAATTAAAGATTTATGTTCTTTATTAAGAATATTTATATATGAGACACTATTTTTTATTTATATAAAATTTCTCTCTTCACAAAAATAATTTTTAAAGTTCTTCAAATAAAAAAAATTTAAGAAAATTCTACAAAATATATATATATATATATATATATATATATTATTTTAAAAATATTATTAAAGTATTAGTTTATTAATTTCTATTTGAATTTTTTGAAATACAATCTTTTTTTTTATCTTCAAACATGATTCTATGTCTTTGACTTTTTCAAACACACAAAGAGTATAGACTAAAGTTTTAGTTCAATACTATTTATCACTTTGACCACCATTTGATATTTAAAAAATCATTTAAAAGGATATATACACAAGATAGGACTTATAAGTATTTTTTTCATTCAAAACGTATTGCACATGTAAAATCTGAATACTTGTGTTATTTTGGAATACAAGATTATGCACTAATATTTTGATTAATATTAATATTCTTATTAAATATTTCAATCACTAAACTAAAATAAAAACCTTACAAGTTGCAGAAGATGCACTAGTTAAGTATATTATTATTTAAAAATATATAAATACTTTTATTTAATATAAATAGACCAGATTATGGTTTATCATAAATTTACTAAAATTTATTCACATAATTTCTGTAAAAGTTACATTATGTGGATTTATATGTTTTTGAATATATATATAGATGATATTTTTTTACTATATTTTTGCATATAAAATCAATTCTAAAATATTAATTCAAATATAACAAAGAAGTATTAAAGTATTCAAAAATTGAAGAATATTAACGATTCAAAAATAACTAAGAAGCATGTAAGGATCTTACATACCAATATACATGCTTGTTATTCACATGTTTAAACTTGATGTGAAAATTTTTATAGTATTTAATTTTAAAATTTTGTTGCATCATATATATAATATTTATTCATATTCATAGATATAGTATTTGATTTGTTCATTAATCCTCTAAAATCTAAAAATTATCAACAACTAATCAAAATTTGAAGAATCAACTTTATTCTATAGTATGTAATTGATAACCTTTGATTTCTAATAATTGATTAATTTTTATTGTCTTTTATTATTTAATAGTGATAATTAATAAAGCACACATTGTCTATATTTGAAAGGCCATATTGCCCCTAGGACCACATGGTTGCTTTGGTGAATGGAAACAAGACATAATCAAGGGCTCTAACAAGGATAATTCTCATCTTGCTTTTGATGCCCTACCTCTAATAATTAATAGCCTTTATAGAATATATATATATATATGGGAATGTTAAATATACCAAATCTTTTATTGAATAGATCCACCTTTGAAGAAGAATTTGGTAATCATGATGAATGTGATTGATTTTTATTGGTTGCAAATTTAATAATAGATAAAATAATCCAAAAATCATTATATTTTCATAATAGTTAGGATGAGTGGATTGATTTAGTAAAAACTTGGATCTATTTAACGTTCCTTTATATATATATATATATATATATATATATATATATTATAAAAATGATATTAATAAACAAGAGAAATGTTACGTATACATGTTATAATATTTTGGATGATAATAATTATACTTGATGGAGTTTTATTTTCATGTTTTATTCACATGTTCATATATATATATATATATATATATAATTTAGAGAGAGAGAATTTAAACTATATGTATCTAACTCTATGCAATCAAAGATTAATTCTATTTTAATAAAAATTCACTACAAAATGATTTCAATAATTTAATCTAACATGGTTTCTGTTGATTGTACAATAAAATGTATTGTTTCGTAAATCTAACTATGCATTATACAAAAATCATGTTGGTAGTATTTTTTGTTTAAAACTGCAATATAAGTGAGTTTTATTTTTGAGTAAGACAAAAGTATTACATGCAATTAAAATATTAATGGTACTGATTTTGATATGTTGTTTGTCTTGTGTTTATTTATTACCCTTCATTTTTGTGATCTAATTTAATTAAATACTCTAAGACGAATTTTATCATTATTAGTGATATTTATTTTCAGAAATGTAATTTTTTAAATATAGATAAAAGTTGTGATTGTAATTAATTTTAATATTTTTTATTTACATAATTTTGATTATACATAATTGTGTGAAACAATTGTAAAATCAGGATTTAGTGATTAATAATGCTAGTGGTACCATAAAAAATGATCACGAGGTTTTAAATATTTATAAATCTTCACAATATAAATTGACTTATCAAGGTTTAAATTTGCCTTAAGTAATTATTAAAAGATATATCTACATGTTTTTATATATGTTTGATTTTTAGCTTGTTTCATAAATTGAGGAAAAAAAAAAAAAAAAAAAAATACATCAGATAGTCACCTCAATAAAATAGAATATGAACATTCAGACCTGTATTCAAAATTATTTAGAACTATATTAAATTAATACATAATTACGTTCTATTTGCACCTGAAAGATTGAAAATATATAAGTTCTTAAATAGCATGCCCAATCAATCCAATTCAATCTCATTTAATGTCGCATAAAAATCATCACACATCCATTCGTATATATATATATATATATATAGATATATTACAATAAAAAATACAATAATTTTACAAAGTCATTAAAAATCATAATTATTTGTTTAAAATATATAAACAAAAACCTTAAACAAAAACTTTATCATCAGACAAACGTTTTTTTTTGTTTAATGTTTTTAAGTTTTGATATAAGGTAATATTTGCACTTTATGAAAATATTCCAAGTACTTTGCTCTCTACGAGTCCTTCTAAATTCAAACAAATTATTTCCATACAACCACACTAGCCACATTTTACCAACTGCTTATCTGCACATTCAGTGGAGATTAAGGTTAACAACTTCTAAACCAACAATGTTGCTATTATTTATTATTAATATTGTTATTTTTCAGACAATGCTTAATATAATCAATTGTGCACAAGCCCTAGTCATAATTGTCCAAAAGAAATCTCATGTCCACAGGGGCACAGGTTCACTCATGTCCTCATGCAAACATGCTGACGTGGACCAAAAAAAAAAAACAGTTGGGAGCTTCACACGTTAGCGAATGCACGAGCAGTCCGAACGAAGTCACACCAACGAATAACCAAACGAACGAGCGAGCAAGTTATAGTCACGATAACTGTCGTGGGCGGAAACGCGAGTGGCACGTCGGCCTCCGTCAGAAAATGGGCGTCATTCCCGGAAAGAAAAAACGTCGTGCGCTGGGTTGACGGGGGGGAGACGAAGGCGTCGACATCCTGGACCGATGACGGAAGTCCGCCGCGGTCAGGCGGAAGTTCGTTTGACGAAAGCGGGGACTGACTTTCGGTGGGGACTTGAAATGGGAATCAGGTGGAGCTGGGAATCAATGGCATTGCGGGCAACTGCGAGCACTGTAAGTAGTCCCCCGTAGGAAAGGAACGAAAGTAAGGAAGGCGAGGTGGAGCAATACTAGGAGAGCCAAGACTATCACTACTGCCGAGTCTCGCCACCACCACCACAGCTATCGCTCGCCACGCTCTCAGGGGAACGCTTTCCTCCCCCTCGATGGATCAAGTATTTCGCCTGATGCGCCTCGATCTTAGTTAGGAGTGCACTCGCATGTGCGCTGCGGATTTTGGTTGGGAGCTGAGGTTGGAAGGGAGGGAGTAGTTATGTGACAAGAGCGGGACGAGTGGCGAGTACTGGTTAATTTGAATATTTCCGAGTGGGAGTGGCGGAAGGTTGTGATAGGGAAAGAGGGGGTTAGGCGGGTGAGTGGGGAAAAGACCTAACGGAGGCGCGAGGGAAGGGAGTGGGAGTGGGAGTGATGTGATGCGGAGGAAAGGCAGAGGGGAGGTATTGAACGTGCAGTTGACGTGGGAGGAGAGGTGGAGAGAGGTATTTGGTAGCGTTGACGTCTATGTGCCGCATTGTTGCGTGGGGAGAACGGTGGCGGTAGAGGTAGCTCACGGAGTCCCAGAATGCCGCTGTTCAAGCGGAAGCCGTATGTTCTCAGAAAACCGCCCAAAGATCTTCTGCGTGATGAGGACGTGTTTCAAGTGCGATTTACCAAGGAGGTTTTTCGGGATTATAAGTATCCGCCTTTCCGTTTGTTGTTTTTTGTTCCCCTCGGTCTTGGTTTGTGTAGTTTTTTTTTTTTGTTATCTTATTATTTGGTGGTTTGTTTGAGGGTTCTCTTCATGGAGTGCCGGGACGATTTTTTCCAAAACCCGGTTGTGGCAATGCATGGGTCGATCAACTCCTTGCGAATTGTTCGCTCTCTTGGATATGCACTTATGTCACTTCGTTTGTGTTTTTTATATTTATTTTTTGTGCTTCAATGGATTGAAGCGGTGGTCTATGTTTCATTCCTCTGATATTTTTCCTTAACTGATAACGTAGAGAGTATTTGAGCTGCATGAAGTTGTATCGGCGGAGGGTATGGACTTGCAAAGTCTCAGGAAAGTCCAACTTAACTTACGAGGAAGCGTTGGTCTCTGAACGCAAAGCTACAGAGAAAGTACAACAGTTTCCGAAGGAATTTATGGGGCCCGTTTTACGCATGGTTCAATCCAGTACGTTGCGTTTTCTCTTCTTTCCCTCGACATGGACTACATTGACACTATCTTTGGTCATTACTTGGTGAATTAGGGTACATATTTTTTCTTGAATATTTTCAGCAATGGCCAGGCGGGGGATGTTGGTGTCATCGAACTGGAACTTGATGTTCGTGAACTTTCTTTCTTGATCAATCCACATAAAGGGCCTGCTCTGGTTCTTTCGAACATATCTCTGAGGAATTACGATTCTGTTTCCAGGTGCTTTGCGCATTGATGAGCTGGTGGATGGAATCTACAAAGTTTTTAAGGAAAGATTTGTTCCAGGAGAGGAGGTCATAGGGGTACGAGACGAACTTCTAGGAGCGTGTCGGATCTTAAAAGTTTTTGATCAAGGAGAAGATGAAAGCCCTTTGTATGAGGTTGCTTGGTTGGACGAAGACGGGAAGAAAACGGGTACCTCTCAGACAGTGGCGGAGAATTTGCGGCGCAAAAAGCAACCATTCTCGCGAGTTCTACTTAAAGCATTCATTAGAGAGTCAGCTTCTTCAGGCCCCTCCCGGAACTCTGCCCGGTTTGTGCATGATAAACTTGCCCGAAAGTTCAAAATACCTATCCCGGTTACTGAACGACCTAAAGTTGCTGCTGAGAAGGATTCAAACCGAGGTTCATCATCCAAGAAAGTCGAAGCAAGGGTGGAAGTAGGCGTTCTATGACTGCATTGCAAATTCCAATTGCGTTTTTGGCTTTCTTGATTATTTTTCTGCCAAATTGCGCGGATTTGTTACGTTCATTGTTTTAAGCACCTTGCAAGCTATGGCTGCTTTTCTTTCGTTTCTACATAGTCGTTTTAGCCCAACCAAAGGCGTTTTTGTTGTTTGAATTACTCCATTTTCTTGGATTATCTAAGAAGCTGAGTAGGTATATTGTAAACTTATTAGTTGTGTATTTTTTTGGTGATGGTATAATTAGCTGTACCTCTATTATCTCTTGTAACTTGTATCAACATTGTAATATAGGCTGCGGAATTACCGAATGGATTACAAGGGGTTAGGAAGAGAAAGAGAAGCGAGGCGGGCAGCGTCAGAAAAAAGAGTGATGTCAAAAGACAACACGTGGAAAGAGGTGTGCACATACTTAACAGCTGCTCTGGATCGTGAATTTTAATCTCCTCCAGTGGTTTTTGTAAGTTGTAGAAGTAGTGAGTCGTGCAAGATTCACCTTGAAATATATTTTGGAACGTGTCGGTGGAGTGATGAATTTCTTTGCAGACAATAGGGTTGAAGCCAGAAGTTTTCCTGTTACAAAGAGATTTTATGTTGAGATGTTTGTCGTTTGAGTTGTCTCAGTGTAGTGTCTTCCGAAAGCAGGTCTGGAGACCTTCATAGACTACTGAAAAAACGACCTGGCACATTTTTGCTGCACATGAACAAATTTGTACTGCGTAGGAACGGGTTTTAAGGTGTAAAATCTTATTTCATGTAATGCATTTGTGCAGTGATACCACAGCCCATTCGCTACCCGATTGAGGATACTCAAGTTAAGCCGGCAGCAAGTGATCCTCCTCTGTCTGACCGGCCAGTTCCAGCAACTGACTTCCTTGTTCCTGTGGAATGCACTGGCAACATGTTGATGGTTTGGGACTTTTGTTGCTTGTTCGGCAAGGCTCTCCTTCTCTCTCCCTTTTCATTAGAGGACTTTGAAAAGTCACTTGACTACAGGGAAGGCGAGGCTCCATTATTGTTGGAAATGGTTCATGCTTTGCTCCGAGCAGCTTTGACCGATCCTGCTCTGAGGGACGAGTTTCTGCATAAGAGGAAGAAACGAATAGAGGTCACAATGGCCAATTGGAAAGATGACCTCTGTGATTTCTTGGAGCTGCCCAGCCAGCAAGACGAACCCAGTAGTGTAATTTCCATGATTCGGCAGGGGTATTTCAAGCAAGTAAAGGTTTCCGAGAAGGTGAATATCTTGCAGACATTAGTTAACAATTGCCTCAATTCTTCCATCAGAACTCAGATCGATGAGAACATTGCGGAGTATCAAGTTCTTATTAATCAAAAGAGGGAGATTGAGGCGGAAGAAGTTAGGCGAAGAAAGGAAGAAAAGGAACTTGTCAAGCAGCAGCGGACAGAACAAGCAAACGGCATAGGTGTTGGAGACGGTGAACGAGGGGAGAGTTTAGAGAATGGGGAGATAGGTATGTGCAGAAAATTCATGTTGTCTTGAAAGTTTAAAGATTGCTTTTTCAACCAGTGGAGACTTGTAGGGATATTTAGTATGTCTATATTCAATATCTTGTGGTTCTATGTGAGGCTTCTTTGAGCCTGCTGTTGAGTGTTTTCGATTAATCGTGGTCTTCTTGTGGTACAGAGGATGATGAAGATGAGGATGCCGAGGAGGTGACAAAAGATAATCACCCGACAGGTTGGAAGGTGAAAGGCAAGCGAAACTCATTTGGGAACCATTCACCAGTCAACAACGGGTTTTCAGGGTAAGTCTGCTGTGGTTTCTTGCATTCGCAAAGTTTTTAAAGAAGCTACGTCAAAAGAACTCGTTTTATTTCTTGACCATGCAATTTTACTCACAGCTAGTGTCTAAGACTGATGAATGGAATTAAACGTGCTCATAGATTTGGAGAGGGTACAATTTATTTCATTCTAATCTTATTTTACGTGACTCATGGAAGTGCTTTGCTCAATCCACTTTGGAGTGATAGTAATCCAAACCTATATATTAGGATTGATGATTTGACTATGATGTCTTGTGTTCTCATCATAAAGTTCTGACAGCCTTCTTTTAATGCTAGACTCAACTAATGTGACCTGTTATATATTGAATGGGACCTTGTTGTTTTGGACTTTTTTCTGCGATCATCGTAATACTAACTGCACACAGTAAATTCTACAAAATTCCTACGATAGACCAAAACGTACCATGCGCTAGATCCCTTCACCAGGTTCAGAAAAGTTTAGATGTGTAGAAGTTGCTTCAAGACTGTAAATACTTGGACACGAAAGATCTTATAAGAATTTAAATGCACGTTGCTTACTTGTCAAGTAGTCCAAATTTCTGAATCAATTTGTGTTGTAAACCGACAGGAAAACAGAAGCTAAACAACCTGTATCAGTTAGTCGTTCTAGGCAAGACCAACTCAAGAGAAAGGTAGAGAAGAAACTTGCCGAAGAGAAGGAGAAGGAAAGACAGAGAATTGAGGAGCAAGTTAAGTTGCAGGAGAAGAGGAAAGAGCAGGCTGAGGCCTTGGCGGAGCGCAAATTGCAAGAGCAGAAAGTGTCTGAAAGACAGAAGAAGGTGTATATCCTGGTTCCCTGCATACGGTAACTATTGCACTGATGCCAGCAATTTTGAAAATGTTTAAGTCCAAAGTATGGGCGCAGGATGTTTTCCTTATTCATTTTAGTTTCTTGAATAATCTCCTGCAGCTTGAACAGTTGGAGCGAGAGATGGATAAACTATATGTTCTTACAATGCCACTTGGGAAGGATCGCTTTCACAATCGTTTCTGGTTCTTCAATAGAGAGGGTCGACTTTTTGTGGAAAGCGAAGATTCCTCACGCTGGGGTTACTACGCTGCAAAAGAGGAGGTGCGTCTTTTCGCCAGTCGGTCTTCTCTCTCCTTGGGCATTGATCCCTAGCGCATGATCTTGGATCTGTTCGTTGGTCTTTCAAAAAGGATTTATTTTCTCCGTTTTACTGAAGATTTTATTTTGTGTGTAGCTTGATGCGTTGATAAATTCCTTGAATATCAAAGGAATAAGGGAGAAGGCACTGCACAGGCAGTTGGAAAAATATCAAGTCAAAATTAGGTGAATGACTCTTTCCGTCCTTATTACTGGAAGTAAATTCTCAAAGATCTTCGACTAGGACCAAGATCGCGGGTTATATATCATTTTCTGTATTCAAATCAATATAATATATGGTATAGACAGATAAGCAGATAATAATCACATTCGCGAATCATCAATAGCAACATATTGTTTAGTTACTATTTCTGATTATCTGATACGAACCTGTTCGTGGTGGCAATGCAGTTGTGCGTTACAAAAGAGATCCAAGGAGCTGGCACAAAGGTATGCAGTTGAAGAAGCTTCTGTGAGACGTTCAGAGCGAGTCCGCACAGCTCCACGGCTTACTGGGTTCCTGGCTTACGTGAACAAGTTGAGGCCTTCGTAAGCAATTTAAATTCTATGTTAGAATGATACGAGGGAAGTAATTGACAGCGTCAGCTCAATGACCTCTGCGACAGGACAACCTATTGCACGATTACCTTAATCAACATTGAATCCTGTACACTACCAGTGTACAGTACCTCGCACGCAGGAGTCTTCGCTTGCTGCAATGCAGTCTCGTTGAAAGATTATGCCTAACGCAATTCAGAAAATTCAGTGACAATGTAAGTAGGAGTTGGTCATACTGGGTTACTACTGTACCGACTAATTAGGGGTCACTTCATATCAAGATCTACTTAGATTCTGCAAATTCAACTGTTGATTTTGTATTTTCAAGGGTTTAGAATAGTTCGACTTTACTTTAGCAGGAAACTCCAGGCGTAATTCAAGCACTTACAGGCCCGAGTTAAGAGTTCTCGCATTAAAGACACCCCATTCAATTTTGCTGGGTCTTGGCAAAGGATTTGAAACACAATTCTGTGTGCTACATCTCCAATTATATTACACATTTGATCACATTTTGAAAATTTGCTGCATGGCTTGTAATTGATCACCAAGTGGAACAAATGATGACACAGAAACCGACCCTAGGTGCTCACAAAAATTCTCCTTTCACTCGAACATTCTTATCACAGCATCCACTCTGCAATCGGATCGTCAGGCCCACCTCATCCTCCAAGCTTGCTGACAGAAGGATAGCTTCTAAAGTAGGTGCATTGTGGCGGGCCCCAGCACCCGAACGAGACGCCGCAGAGGCTCGGTCAATCCGAAGGTGCAGGCTCGGCATTACCACGAAAGCCGTAGAAGTACCAGAGCCACACAAACACGGAGACGACCCTGAGTCGCAGCTGGAGACGCCATGATGATGATCATCAGCTGCTGCCCCATGCCCACCTTGTTTTGAACGTGTGCAGAAACCGCTGGTCTCCGCAGTGTAGGAAAGGTGGAGATAGGAGACGAGTGCATTTGGTGATTCTGTCAGTCTTGACAGAAATTAGAAGTTCATGAAGGGGGGGAGCCTTTGACAAGGGAGCGTAATTAGAGAAGCATCGTTAGAAAACGAGTAGGATATAGAGCAGTACCGTCAGGTTGATCGGCAATGGCGTGCACAGGTCATTGCCTCGGCGCAGCCATGGCCACTGTCTCTCGCCTGCCTCATTTCGTGCCGTGTGTCAATGCTCAAAAGTGCCACGGTTCGGCCGGTGGACATTTGGTTGTTTCTCTGCAACAGGTCGCATGGGTCCCTTCGACATTTGGCGGTAAGGGAATCGCTGGACTAGGCAATGTGTTGAAATTTCGTGCAGGAGAGTCATCTACTTACGGGCGAATGGCCTCGCAACGGATGATTGTCATGGCCAGTCAAGAAGCCGGGACCTCAACTTGTACGTAATTCTCCACTGGTGTTTGTCCTGAAGTATTTCGGAGTCTCAGATTCTTTTGTTTTAACTTTCAAGTTGATTGAAGAACATGTATGTTTGATGAAATCGTATGGGGATTTCAATTTGGTTGAGTAGAATCGCTGAAGTGCATGCTCTTGAATTTAGTCATGCACTTACCTTCTCCTCGGGAATTCTGGACCTGCATTTTGTCAGAATGTAGTATTCTACGGTAGGCACGTTAGGTATGATGAAGAAGCTACCGTCTACGGCTGGTTGCCCTTTCTAATAAGGCCAGATGACGAGTAATTGCGCATCCATTATCGCAGCTTACCTTCTCAATAAGCTGCTGATAAGTCTAGAGTTATTTGGTGTTAAGCCTTCACGAAAACAATTATGTCATGGAAGACATGGTCTCGCAATGATATGCGGAACTGCTTGCCAGAACATTGCTGAGAGAATTGGCTTTCTTTGTTTTTCTTGTTAGGCGTGGAATGCAATTGTCAAGCTTAATAAGTGGTGTACACAGACGCTGTAGCCACAAAATGATGGAGACGTGATTGGATGGGGGCAGTGGTGGTACAGGAGGTGGAGTTCATTTGGAAGGGACCAGGTTCTAAGGTCTTGCTTTCCGGAGACTTTGTCAACTGGGAAAGTCAGGTGCCTCTAGAGAAATCGGGGTCGGAAGGTTGGTTTGTTGTCAAGCAGGTGCGTGGTGCGTCCACCCTCAATATAAAAAAAATTCCTTGAGAAATAGCATTTTTGTTTTTTTATTTTTTTAATAATTATCTATAAACTTTAGTTTTTTTGTTTTAGGTTCGTACAAATCCGTCGTTAATTTCAGCTTGAATTGCAGAACATTGCTCCTGGAACCTATAAGTACAAGTTTATTGTGGACGGAGAGTGGCAGCACTCACCTGACTACCCTACGGTTTCCGACAATTCCGGAGGCTTCAACAACGAAATAACTGTATCAGGTACTGTGTTTTCTCCTCCTTAAACCACTGTTATTTTCATTAATTGAAGAGTCTTACCAGTTCAGTAGGCGTCAGATCAATCGTGCATAGCCAGGTTTTAGGTTGTTTTCACAATGCGAAATATAACTCAGTTAGATCCTCTTCGTGATTGCTGCTTGTACCCATGGAGGGCATTGAATCTCACTTTCTTGCTATCATCTATACTAATAAAGCGATTGGATTACTGAACACTCGGTTACCATCTTTCTGGTTTTGGCCACTGACGAGGAGATGCAGCAGCTTGGCATTTTTCAGGAGAAGTAAAGAGTTTCAAATAATATTAGACCAGGATTTGTTCTGCATGCGTTCATGCAATCAGATTAAGTTCATCTTACGAGTGGACTAGAATTCCACACTTGTAATAGAACATTTAAGTTATTCTTCTTTGCGACCATGTCACAAGGTTTATCATGTGTCGCCGCTCATTTGCAGAAGAAAAGTCTACTCCTAAACCGACTAGAAAGGAAGATAATGCTGGATCTTCTAAGGGCGAAGTTAAAGGATCCACCGAAGAAGTTGCTAAAGTAGACACTCCAAAGCCTGCAGCTGCGGCAAGTCCTCCAAAACCAAAAGTTGCTGCCGCAGGTGGAGCAAAGAAGGCTGCTGCGGGTGGAGCGAAGAAAGCAGTTAAGGCAGTTGCCAAGCCTCTGCCGGAGACAATGCTGGAGGACGTCATTCCTCGACTGACAGCTTACTTTGAAAAAGAGCAAGGCGTTTCGGCTGTCGATATTCAATTTGACGACAATCAGGTATTTGTGACGTTATAAACTGAAGGAGCCCTGCCAAGAACTTTGCAATTTGAGTTAAGGGTTATTTCTATTAACGACACTGATGTAGTTTCCAGAACTGAACAATTAATTCTAGTATTAATATCATAACTGGCTGAGTTTTCACTGAACCAGAAAAAAAAGAAAAAATAAAAGAAGAGAGTCCACTAGAGAATTAGAGTAGATGCCAATGGATTTCAAATACCCTAAATTATTGATTGTTCTTTATTCTATTCCTGCTCCAAATTCTTTATTCGTCATTGCGAATAACCTTTTTAAGTCTTTATGAAGAAGTTAAACAGTTTCCTCAATCCTTGAAGAGTAAAGCTCAATTCTCAATAACACCGTATTCCAAGGTAATCTTGCAAGTTCACCGAAACTAATCAAAAATGTATCTTGTTCTTACGGCCGAATCGTGTGTTGGTTTAACAGCTTCAGGGTACTTTCATAAAGAATGAAGTGCAATACAACTTCTGGGCATATTTTCCTGATGGAAAACTTGAAGGTATCACTAAATGTTCCATTCAATTCTGTTTGTGCGCGTTCAACTCATTCATTAATATATGTTACAATTTCCGAGTTCTATTTAGTTCCATTCATATGCAAAATTACTAATGTTCCAAATCTAAATTGTCGGATTACTGTGGATACATCGAGTTCCTCGAAACTGAGTTCCCTTCTATCACTTTATGAACCAGGTTCCAGGGGATTCTCATTGACATCGCACGGATGCTCCCCAAGTACTGTGGAGCCATTCTTGATTGACGAGAGTAAAATAACAGGGGAGTCGGTAGTACAGCAGGTCATCAAAAGACTCTTTGCTCAAAAGCTTTTAGCCACGAACTGATCCACCCTGTACCCTGTAATTATATGATGCTGTCCAACAATTCTTCTTTGTGCGCTTTCAAGGATCTGACAGCTCAGCTGGTGAACATACCATGTGTCTACTAGATTAATTTGTGGATCTGCTGTGGAGAAAGTTCCACTCGTATGTTCCATATGTCGTAGCAATCTGCTCTACCCTGAAGAAGCTCATCAATGGCCTGCTTACTACTGTGTATTGGTTAATTGTTATTATGCTTTTGGCCTAACCTGTCCTCAGCGATGGCTGACCTCGAAGTCGAATAATATTTCAAGGTTAAACAATGAAGCCAATCGAGTGGTGCCTCCACATTGTTCATTGAAACATGCCACACTTGAAAACCAGCCATTAGTGACACAATAGCAATAATGATTGGTGAACAGTAGATATTAGCTTACAGTAGTCTAAGTGTAGATGTAGCTAATAAAGTCACGTAACATTACAGATGCTACAATCATACAATCACTCAAGTGCATTTACTTCTCATAGCTGCCTAGTTAATAAGAACTACTGCTCGTAAAATAAATCGTACTTATGTCAGCAAGAAGCGCTACATGATTGCCAGAAGCAAGTAAAACACAGATAAATACATCATCAACCCAATACACAATCTAACCAATAGCAACATGCATCTCTGTAACATGTGTTATTTGACATCAATCCTCCGGGGCAAGATGAAAAACCAATTTCCAAACACTTTCAAAAAAGGAACCCATCATACACTGTAGATGCTTATGATGAAAATAGGACAAGAAATATATGTGTCCATGTGAAAGAACTCTTACAACTAAAAATAAAGATGACCATCTGCAAAATCTCTTATCGTGAATTAAGCAAATTACAAGCAATATCTCAAGTAAATGTGTTAAGTAAATGGTTCTATCCACATCAATAACAATGGGGAGAATTCACACAACATACAACCAAGTCACTAAAAGACAATTTAAATCTTTAAAGAGTGTAAATGTGCATTGGATCCCATCTTGTCTAGAAGATGATAAAGGAGACTTGCCTATACTTGTCTAAACATAGTGAAGTTTCATCAAGTGTAGGATGCAACAACTTACTTGTAATTTCATTCATTTAACACTCCCTCTTAAGTAAGTAACTATTAGGAGGATGAAAGTAGAATGAGTAGTTGCTTAATGTATTCTTCCAAGAGAACTCAACAATCATAGAAGCACTAGAAGTTAGGCAATTAATAGTCAAATTATTTCTAGCATTTTTTAATACTTTTAAAACTTAATTCAAGTTAGAGGCTTAATGAAGATGTTTTCCAGATTCTCATTTGTTGTAATGTAATTGAACTCTATTTTTCCTTCCAACACTCTTTTGCAAATATATATAATGTATTTTTTTTTCAAATAAACAACTAGATTCTTTGTAATCTTTATAGAATCTTGATTGTTATATTTTAAAATGAAGCTGTAGCTTTGTTGGTATAGGCATTGATATTAAATTTATATTGATTTGTGAGTCATCAAACATCAATGGAACCTTCAATTGATCTATTATGCCCAATTCTATCAATAATTGACATACATACACATTTTTGTTTTTGTTCTCTTTAGTAAGGACTTATACTTTATTTTTGTAGTACTATGTAAGACAATCAATTGTCTTATATTTAACTAGAATATGGAAGTAAAGGCAAGCTTGATAACATAAGCTCTAGATAAACTTTTGGTGTCTTTATACCTTAAATAATTCACATTTATAAACCATCCAACATTACATTTTTTTTTACTTGATAGAAAAGTTTATAGTCTTTGGTATGATTTAAATAGTGCAAAATGTGGAGAATTAGCTCTTCATGTTGTTTTTGTGGCTTTTGCATATATTTGCTCAAAATACCAACCATATATGTTATGCCAAGATAAGTAGTTGTGAGAATGATTACCTTACCTACAACATAGCAGTAATCTATCATATCCATTTTTTTGCATTTGTCTTTGCAAAAAAAAAAAAAAAAAAAAAAAAAACATGTCCTTTTGGCAACAGTATAATCCTAGGATGTGAATTTTCTATTCTAAATTTCTTGATTAGCTAGCAGTAATACGCTTATAAGTGAATAAACATCCTCTATAAGGAGAGATAAAATTCAATGCCTAAGTATTTTTTGGCCATGCCTTAATTCTTTATCTCATATTTCTTCTTAAGATAAAACTTTATTTGTCTACTTTTCTTTGGCTGATTAATGTAACAAGAAGGTCATTTATATACATCATTATAATTGTCAATTCTTGGTCTCTCTTGAGAAAATACAAATTGAGATCTACAAGCTCATAATCCATCCCAAGCTCCTTTGGTAACCATTAATTTCTTCACACCATGTTTTGGATGATTGTTTCAATTCATAGATTGAGCACTTGAGTTTGCAAACTAGATTTTATTATTATTATTATTATTATTATTATTATTTTTAAATCCAAAAGACTATTATATATAAATAAGATATTTGAAGGTTCTATTCACCAATGTAGTAACTAAATTCATTTGATGTAATTCCTAATCTAGTTATATTGCCAATGCTATAATATTCCTTAGAGTTGATTATTTCACTATAAATACAAAGGTCTTATTAAAATCAATTTCAAGGCTTTTTCCTAGGTCTTCAACTTCTAATTTAACCTTCAATCAAAGGTGTATTAAATACATGACAAGTTTTGACTTGAAGATTTATTTTGCTAATAGTACATTCCTCTAAGCAATTCCACCAACTCTTAAATATCATTTTGAATTAAAGAAACAATTTATTCTTGCATAGCTTTTTTCAAATATAGATGTTTGAAAGCATCCATTGTATTGATGTTATCACTAATATTCTTTAATATTTCTACAATAAACGCACCTTAAATTCTAATTCACTCTAAATTTATTGAGTGGTTGTTGCAAAAAGAGCTATCCAAGTTTATTATAAGTGTCTCATCAACAAAAGTCGCAAACTTCAAATTTTGAATCAATGTCGTCTCTTTTTGATTTTATGTCTTCTTTTGATTTTCTCTCCTCAATTTTTATTTTTATTTTTATTTATTTATTTATTTATTTTTTTCTTTTCTTATTTCTCTTCCTATAAAAAAATTAACTTGCTAAAAAAGATATAAGCAACACCAGTAGAATTTACATATCCTATGATATTTAAAAAATATTATATTAAAAATATAAATATTTTTTACAAATTATAGATGATATATGCTTTTTAGTTTTCATCATAGCCTAATAAAGTAGTGATAAACAACTCATATTGAAATTTTATTTAAGATGCACCAAAGATATAAATATAATCATTACAATTTAGTACTTTAAGATAAGCAACATAAGTTTTTTAGCCAAAATATTTTTCAAAAGGCAAAGAAAGCTTTAAAGATTTAGTTCTACATGTATTAATAATGTAATTAGATGTTTTAATGTTTTTAGGCCTAAAAGCAATAAAAATTTAGTAATTATGAAATTATTGCAGACATATTTTAGCAATGTTTAATTTTTTTATTTTGCTACTTCATTTTAATGAAAAGAATGTGATATGATTAACTAATGGTGGATCTTTCAAGAGTAACAACAAGAAAGTAAAAAAGAAGACATATTCTTTGCAATATTCATATTTAAGACATGAAATAATAAAAAAATAAAAATAAAATTTAATTATCTAAAGAATTTTTTAAAAACAAGTTAATGTTTTATTTATAAATTATAAAAAATGGATCCAAGTATATCTTAAAAAGTCATTGATAAATATAAAAATATACTTAGCTTTGTTATTACTAAGCAATGGTCGATACAAATTTGATGGAATTAATTCAAGAGATTAAGATGATCAAATGTTTATAAATCATCTAACAACAATAGATAGCTTTCTACTATTTGCAATTGTAACAAAAGGATTTAAAGAACTAGAAGCTGAATTGAAAAACTTAGCTTTATCTTTGCAAGCATATTCCATACAACCTAAATCTATTAGCTAATTATGGCCACAAGTATCTACTTCTATAAAATTTACTTTAATTGTTTCTTTGTTATTCAAAATTACTTTAGCGGATTCATCTTTTAATCTTAATCAACTTCAAATATATGTGCATGAGTTTTATATTAAATTATGCTAGTTGTATATATTTAAGGCTAAGCAATGAATTCATCTATTTTCTTCAAGTCACATTTACTTTCAAAATGATCATTCTTTCTATACTTGTAGTATTTTTTATTAGTCTTTTTTGAATTTTTGGAAGAAATTTTTAATCTAAAAAATTAAAAACATGTAGAAAAACTACTATTTATATCTTAATCAGTCTTATTTGCAAAGAATTACTTTAATATTTTATTTTATTTTAAAGAATTGTATAAGAATTCTTCTTGTATTTCTTTCTATTGTCCTACCTCTACAATTCCATTGTTTGTATTATTTCTAGGAATCTTGTATATATACAAGCTGAAATATAATTCATGTCAAATTGAAATACAAATACAAATAGGCCTCAATTAATAGGCAGTTCACAAAACAAATAATAAATCAAAAGTTTGTTGTCAATATCAACTCTAATGAATACTATTGTATTGTAACACAACCATTAGATGAAAGAAAAAAGAAGAAATTATATTATAAAGGAGCTTAAATGAAAATATTTTAGAAAATTATCTCAAAAATATAGATAATAGATAAGGAGATAATAAAAATTAATTAGTGATAATATTTCTTTTTTGTAAAAGAGGCTTCTATTAACTTTTTAAGGCTATAAATAAAAAAATAGACTAAAAAAATAAATTATATGAACATCTTTAAAAAGAAGTTAAGAATAGGTTTTAAGAAAATTTATTCCAAAATATCAAGAATTGATATCCAAAGAAGATCAATTATAAACCAGGATTGAAATCAAATCTTAAAACATAAAATTCTACACCTATGGAAATTCCATGGTCTTTTGGTTGACCAAAGGCTAGAATTTAAAACCAAATTGGTAAGAAATTTTTTTTAAGAGTTAATTTTATGTGATTTGAAGACATATTGAATTTTTGAGGACTTTTCAATGTGAGAGATATCTTCAATGGTTTACAATTTTGAATATTGTGTAAGTTTTGTAATACAATTGTAGGTGAAATTTTAGAAGTATATTATTATACTTGTCTTTAATGTATTTGAAAAAAATTTGATGTCAAATAAATAATTAGATTGAAAGATATGAAAGTTTTAATGAATTAAGATCTCAAATATTTGAAATTTAGGATCAATAAGGGTATTTATAATCTTAAAATATTTGTAAGTTAGATAGAAGCAAATATTGGTGAAAAAAATT